ACCGGGATTCAGGATTCAGCCTGTCAGAGCAGGCAGGCCCTAAAAGCGTTTGGGCCGCCACGAGCGGGCTCAGTAGCACCTTCTCTGAAGGGGCAGAGCCCCCAGCCCTGCTGGTTCCGGAGGCTTGAAGCCACACACACAGGGCCTCCGGCTAAGTGAAGCGTGGTCCTATCAGATGCTCGCACAGGAGGGGGGGCCTCAAATCCGCTTTCAGCCAGGGGAGGGGGGAGCAAATAGCATCACATCGGTGCCCCCCACACCCGCCCAGTGCAGGCCATGCCAGGAGGCCCCTCGGGGGCACACGTGGCTGCGGCAGGGGCTGCGGGCCACCGGGTAAGCTGAGTCAGGACGGCAGGACAGCCGGTCGTGAGGGATGCAAGAGTAACAATGGCTTTGTTGAGTTTGTTTCAAATGTTCTCAATATGATGCTTTCACGTGTACAAAAGGAGAACTGGGAGAAGTTTAAAAAAAAAAAAAAAAAGTCAGCCAGAGACACAGCAGGAAACTTAGCACCGGGGAGACCAAGATCTGTCAGCCTGTTTCCTTTCAAAACATAATGTGTCCTTTAAGTCAACAGAGTAGCTCTACCACATATTTAAACACTGCCTATGCCCCCGTCACTACCACCACCAGGTCTCAATCCCACATGAATGCCAGCTGGACACCAGGACACGCACCAGAGTCTACCGCTGCACGGCTTCTAACAGCAAACAAACAAGAAAAGCAGCGCAGCTGTGCTTCCAGCAGGTAAAAGACTGGGTAAGTGACAATACAGCCACGCAGCCGCACCCTGGAGTGCTATGCAGCCAGGAAAAAGAACAAAGCTGCCTCACTGAGCAAATACACAGGACAAAAGCCTCGGTGGAATGTGTTTGGTGGATCCTACATGTGTGTTTTTAAATCACCTACTCCATGGATGCGTGTGCTTCCGTGTATACACAAAAATCCATTAAAAGGGTCTGGAAAGGGATGCACCAGTAAAGGGCAACAGTGGTTAGCTGGGGGAGGGGAGGGTTGCACATTCTGTCTACACACTTCTGCACTGTTTGAAGAGTTTCACAACTAGGCCCACTGGCAGCCTGCGACTGTGGGCGAGCCGGGGCGGGAGCTGCTGGCCTGGCCGTGTCCTAGACAAAGTGCTGGCCCTGTGCCAGCTTGGTTTGCTCTGGGCGAAGGAGATCCTGGCCAGCCACCCCCCACTCTGACAGGCTGCCTTTCCAACGCAGCTGCCCAGGGGAGCACCTGCCAGGGGTCCGGGCGGGCAGTGTGCTTGGAAACCATGTTCTAAAGCCAGAGTTCGGGTTGGGGGAGGGGACCTAAATCCTTGCCCCAGTAATCTCACTGGGGATCGAATCCCTCGTTCAGTGGGTCAGGGTAAATTTCAAACAAATCCTGCCCCAAATTATCACAGGAAATGGCTGAGACAGTGAAGTCTCACTCTACTTTCCACCCCACCCCACACAGGGCCAGGTGGCTAGGAACATCTCTCTGGGGCTGCAGGAGGGAGGGGCTGTGTCCAGCACAGTGCCCACCTTCCTGGCCAGGCCCCCAGAGCTGCTGAGACGGGCCCAGCCCAGGGTGCAAGGAGAGGTTTTCGCTACTAGCGCTGGAGGGAAAACAGGGCACAGAGGCACTGTGAAAACAATCCTTTGTGGGAACAAATAGGTAGGAATGTATTTGTGATATGTCTGCCTAGAAAGACTGCGGCCACTCTGCTTGGTGCTCACCAAGCACCCCCTGCCCCCCGCCCCATCCTGGACAACAGGCAGGAACCTCCTCCAATATGTGTGACCTGGACAGCTGTGGGGGACGGGCGGGGAGTCTGCCCTCAGAGGGGTCCAGAGCTTCCCTTCTCTAAGTCCTTGAATTTTCAAATCAGAGCCCTTCAGCCTCCAAGAAAATCTGTTCCTGGTCTAGGCAGTCCCCAAAGCGAGTCTTAGCAAACCTCCCAGGTCTGGGCTGGGAAGCTACGAACAAGCAAATAACAAGGGGCTCAAGTTGCAAAGACGTTTGTGCCTCTGTTTTGTTTTATCATGAGCTTGCTATAACATCAACAGTTACCTAAATGTGACAGAGGGTCATGAGTTCCTAGGATGACCATTGGGGGACCACACGGCCACAGAGCTAACCAGGACAATCAGCAGCTCTCTGCGTGCAGTCGGTTAGGGGTGGGGGTGGGAGATCAGAGCAGAGCCAGGAAGCCCAGGTTCCCCCAGAGTCAAAGATGCCCCTAGGGGACTTCCCTAGCAGCCCAGAGATTAAGACTTCACCTTCCAATGCAGGGGGTGAGGGTTCAATTCCTGGTTGGGGAGCTAAGATCCCACATGCTCTGCAGCCAAAAAAACAAAACATAGAACAGAAGCAATACTGTAGCAAATTCAATAAAGACTTTAAAAATGGTCCACATCAAAAAAAAAAAAAAAAAAGATGACCCTAGGAACTCTCAAACTAATTTCACGTACACACATCCTCGTTTCCTGCAAACCTTCCAGGTGGTCAAGGGAGACATCACCAAGCTGCAGGGAGACCTGGGAACCAGTCCCTGGTCACAAAGCTAGGCAGAGCAAGGTGCCAACTGCCTCCTTGGCTACAGGTCATTTTGGTATTCACTCCCCACCATACAATCGCTATGGGAGTAGGGGGGTCCCTAATGAAAGGCCTGGCATGACCTGAGCCACTGCCTGCAGGGACCACCCCTCCCACCACAGAACACTCTGGGAGCCCACAAACCAGGGTCTGTTGCTCGGGTCTTCCCAGGGTCACCTCTCGGTCACCCCCTGCAGCCAACTTGCCTTTCCTCTCCCTTCTGTGGGCTACCTCTGTCCCCTCTATGAACACCAGTGACTTATGCTCTGCACACCTGGGCTTAGCCTGGAAATGGGCTTCCTGGAGGTGCCCTGGACCAGAGGTAGATTCTTGGTTCATAGCAGATTCACCTGGGGAACCCCTTAAACTGCAGTCAACATCTGGTACCTGGAAATCTGCATTTCCGAAGGCCCCAAGGGAACCCTGTGCACTCCTGACTTGGAGGTCTACAACTGCTCTGGAGGTGGAGCTCCAGGGTTTCTGCACACCTGGAGGTTGGGGCTGGCTTCCTGCTCTAAGAACAGGCACAGCACTTTGCAGGCAAAGTATGGATCCATCCTCTTCTGGCTGCCTTGGGCTTACAGGCACCCCAGAGAGACTGGCTTCCACCCCACTGTGAAGGCGCGGGTTCCCAGCGCCCCTGACTCAAGCATCTAGCCATCCTGCCCTGTGCTGCGCAGGGCACATGGACCCTGGATCGGGGGGCTGAGGCAACCCGGAAGGCATCCCCCGGCGGAGGCCCGGGCGAGCCCCGCCCCGGGCCAGTCCCTCCGCAATTCGCGAAGCTGTCTACCGGGTGCTGCCGGGTGGAAGGCCACAGTAAAAGAGGCTGCAGAAAGGTTTTCCAGTCAAGTTCCCTACCCAGTACTGGCCTCGCCTCAACGAGGTACTCAACCCCAGCCGCACCCCAAACGCTGGCCCCGCCCGGGTACTTGGGGTCCACCTGGCTCCAAACCTAGCTTCGCCCCTCCCCCACGACCACACCCACTCTTGCAGTAACGTCCCCACCCCCCTCATGAGTCCACACAGCCCGAACTCTGACTCATACAGCCTAGAAACGGCCCGCCTTCACCCGCGACCCCACCACCTGCCACGTGGTTTGAGCGGCCACAGCGTGGGACCAGAAATGCGGGGACAGCCTCGGGGGGGAAGAGGTCGTGAGATCCACGGTACCTGACACCCGCAGACCTTGGGCCGACTCAGTTCCAAATGTACCAGGAGAAATAGCCTTTCAGCTCTAGGTTCTTGAAGACTACTGAGGTTTTTAAATCAGTCATGTAATCAGTTTGTGAGTTATTTTACAAATGAGAAGATGAAACGTTTGATCACGAAGTTAATAGTATAAAGGCTTAAAAGCTGTCCCAAAGGTGGAAGACCTAAGTGTCCAGAAGAGTTCGCGTAAGCTCAGATGAAATACACGATTCTTTAAACCAAACTGGGAAAGAAAGGTTGTTTACCCATTAAAAGGTTGTTTCCACTTTTGTCTTTACAAAACAAAAAACAACCACAGAGGAATCAACGACAAAGTCCCGGACTCGCGCGAAGGGAAATGCTGCCCTGGGGTCGGGGGCGGGCGGCGGTCCGCGGATCCCAGGCTGCCGGCTCCGGCCGCCCGCCCCCGTGCAGGTGCTGCCTGCCCGCATCCGGCCCCGGCAGGTGAGAGCACGGCGGGGAGGAGGGCGGCGCAGACCCACGGGCAGGAGGCAGGGCGCTCCTTTCGGGAGAAAGCGCAGCGGGCCCCAGGAGCCCCTCGGGTCCGGCGCGCCCCCGCCGGCCGGATGGGCGGGGCTCCCACAAAGAGCCGCGAGAGAGGACCCGGGACCGCCCCCCGCGTCGGCCGCCGCTGGCTCTGGTTTCGACAAATTAAACCTTAGAGCGCTGGAAAAATTACAGGAAGAGAAGAGCGAAGAATGTGCCGAGTGGCTGGAGGCAGCCCTGTCCCCGCGTGAACTCCGCCCGCCGCGCGCCCGGGCCGGCCCCTCCCCACCCGAGCGCGCGCCCGGCCGGCGGGGGAGGGGCCGGGCGAGGACACCCCTCCCCCGCGGCTCCCGGGCCGCCCACCTCCCCGGGCGGCAACCGCGGCCCCCACCCAGCTAGCCGGCACCTGCCCTTGCGCCCCCCGGCCTGGGCGGGGTCCCCGCCCCCGGCCCTGATGACGACAATCGCCCCCGCGGCCCCGCCCGAGCGCGCCCGGGGAGGGGGCGTGCCCGGCGGGGGCGCGGTCGCCGGGCGGGCGCCGGCTCCCAGCGCCGGGACCCGCCTCGCGCGGTGCGCGGGGTGTCGCCCGCAGCCCCAAGCGGCTCGGACAGGGGCGAGGCCCCTACCGTTCCCGGCCCGACCTCCCCTAGCTACCCGCCAGCGGCTCCGGGGGCGTGGCCGGGCAACTCGCACTGGCCCCGGGCCGCCCCACTGACCTGTGTGAGTTCTCAGGTGCGCCTTGAGGTGCGAGGATTTCCCGTAAACTTTCTCGCAGCCCGCGTAGTGGCACTTGTGCTTTCTCTGCGGGGACTCGAGGTCGGCGCGACTTCGACCCCGCCGGCCCCTTTGTCTGAGGCCGGGCTCGCCGCTCCCCGCGGGCCCCGGCTCTCGCTCCGGCTCCAGCCCCGCCTCGGGCTCGGGCTCGGGCTCGCTCCACGCCGGGCTGAGGGGCGCGGCCGCCGCGCCACCGGCGCCGGGGGAGGTGGGCTCGGGGGCGGGTGGTGGCGCGGGCGGCAGGCGGCAGGGGGTCCTCGCCTTCCGGGCCGCGGCGCCTTCTCTGCGCTCCGCGGGGGCGGGCGCCGGCGCTTGTTGGTTAAGGTCCGCCAGGATCCGCGCCACTACGAAGAGCGAGGCGCTGTCCTTGCCGTCGCGGCGCTCTTCGACGCGGGGCAGCGTGGCGGCGACAGCGGCCGCGCCCTCGGGTCCGGGCTGCGGCCCCTCCCGCGGCCCGTGCACGACCGCGCGGCTCGACATGGACACGAGGCACTCGGCGGCGAAGTGGTCCACATAGGCGGCGGCTGCCATGCTGCGGGCTCCGGCCGGCGGGCGGGCGGCACTGCTGGTCGCTGCGAGTCGTCAGCGGCGCATCCGCACCCACGGCCTCCGGAGAGCTGGCGGGGGGCGGGGGCGCGGCGCGCCCTCTCCGCGGGCTGGGCTGGGCGCGCAGCCGCCTCTGCCGTCACCCGCGCGGCTCCGCGTCTGCGAGGCGCCCGCCTGGCTGGGCACCGAAGAGTGAGCGCATGGAGGGCGCGGGCGAGTGGGGTCCCCGCGGGGCGTCAGGGGAGGCCTGCTCTAAGGATGCCGAGTGGCGACGTTAGGGACGACCGCGCCAAGTCGCGGCCGCAGCCTCGCCGCGCATTGTGGCAGGCGGGACAGCCGCCGCGCGCGCCGCGGCTCGGTGTGGGCGGCCCGGCCCCGGGGGTGGGCGGGGCCGGGGCCACATCTGGACCCGACGTCAGCCCCCAGCCACATCCTGGCGGCGCAGGTTACAGGCGGCGGCGGCGGCAGCGGAGAGTTGCGCACGCGGAGGGGGCGGGGATCCCGGAGCGCGCATCGGCGGGATGGAGCGGTCACGCGCCCACGCCTGGGGAGGAGGCGTGGCCGAGGACAAGGGTGGACGCCATTGGTCCTCAGGTTCGCGGCAGGGCCAATCCGTACAGAGAGAGGCGCCCACCCGGCCTCGGGGCGTGCGCGTGCCAACGGGCGTGCCCCCTTGGCCGGCGGGAGGAGGGGCGGAAATTGGAGCCCGGAGCCGGGCACGCTGACGCACGACGTCCGAGGGCGGCGGGCTGGGGCGGGGCCGCGCCCCCTCCTTTCTGCGGCGGGGACCCCGCGGGGTATTTTCCTGTCGGAGCTTTTGTACCGTGACAGCCTTGAACCCCGGCGCGGAGACGAGCGCTCTGAAGGGCGCCCCTTTGTCCCTCTAGCCCCGCCTGTGCTGGGCGCGGCGGAGAGCTCGCCCTGCGGGGCTCGCCTCCGCTTCTCCCTTTCCTCTCCGGAGTGAGGTGCCCGGCGAGGAGGCGTGTCCGCTCCAGCCGGCGCGGAACAACCCCGCCGCACCCCGCCGAAGCCGGGTTCTTGGTCGGCCTCGCCGCGAGAAAGACCGCTCGCCCGCTGCACGCTCCTCCCCTGCTGAGTCCGGCGCTCGGCCCTGCCCGGCCGGGAGCGGGGTCTCGGGTGGGGAGGGGCCACTCCCGCCGGCGGGACCCGGAGCTCCCCGACCGTCCGGCGGCCGGGGATCGAGCCGCGCCGCGCTGCCCTTGAGCCCGGGTCATCCGGAGCCCGACTGGCCCCAAGCTGGTGGTTAGCCTGGCAGCGCGGGTGATGTGTCCACCGCGTCTTGTGTTCGCAGGAGTGAACTACGTGCCGGGGCGTCGGCGCCGCCGCTTAGGGAACGCAGGGCCCCTTCCTCCGCCTCCCCTCCCCAGGCCCGCTGCCAACTTCTCCCGGCTGCCCCTCTCCCACCTCGGCCGGGGAGGCTTCAAAAGCCACCGGCTGCGAGGGCCCCGCCCACCGCGCCCCACCCACCCACTGTCGGGTCTGGCGGAGGAAATGCTCCCTGCCCCGCCCCGCCCACTTGCCCTTGGCCCTCACCGGCGCCCTCACCCTCACTCTTCTCTAGGCCCCGCCCCCCCGCCGTTCTGCTACAGGCCTAGGCCATCACCATAGAGGGTAGAGACCGGAACCGATCGCAGCAAGCCCCTGACCCGGGGAGACTGGCCGGCGTCTGCAGCTCTTAATGGACGTTCAAACATGTCAGCTGCCCGCGGGGAGCCTGGAGAGGGAGGGCAGCCCAGGCACTGGATCCCTGCGGACCGGAGAAGAGGGGTGGGTGGGACAAAGTCATTCTGCGCACAAAATTAATAGCAGCCATTCTCACAGAATTAATTTGGGGCCTGGGTAGAAAAATCTCTTTCCAGGTCACTAAGGAGGAACGGAGACAGGCATTCTGCGTTGCATGTCATGGTGACCTGTAAACTGGTGTGGACGTTTGGGCGCCCTGGGTATCTGTGACTAAAACCCTAAAGCTCCTTCTCCCTGGTGGAGTCCATGCCCCGGGAAGACCACACAGCATGCTATTCAGGGGGGTCTCTGTACCAGCCAGCTGGGTCAGGTTCCTCTAAGATGGTCTCCTATTGGCAGGAAGTAGTCATTCTTCTCCCAGGCAGATTGTGTTGATGACATTTAAGAGATTTGTGTTCTGACCAAATAATGATTCAGAATGTTCCTGCAGTCTCACCACATGTCACAATCAGTCACTTCATTAAGGATGGAGCTGGCCCTACGTTGACTTACCAGCCACCCATCCCCTCCCCATCCCTCTCCAGCCAGCAGTATTCTGCCCAAGTCTTCGAGGTACCACATCTCCCCACTTTCTCCATGATCCCTCAGGACACCCCAGCCTGCACACACCTAGGAGTAGGCACCCTTCTAGACATGAGGCTTTGACCGTTGACAAGACACCTGCCCTGGGTGAGGGCAGGCAGGCCTGGGTCAAGGGTCATCTGCACTGACACATACCCCACCCCCATCCACAGCCCGAAACAGCCCATAGGCCTCCGCATGGATGCAGCCTCCCTGAGGATTTTGGCTGTGCCCCCGTGGCATTCTGGAGGCAAAACTCAGCCCCTTGGTTTATTTCTCAGGCCTTTAATGATTGTTCATGGGGACTTCCCTGGTGGTCCAGTGGTTAAGACTCCACGCTTCCAATGCAGGGGGCCCGGGTTCCATATCTGGTCAGGGAGCTAGAGCCCACATGCATGCTGCAACTAAGGAGCCCGCCTGCTGCAACTAGGACCCGGTGCGACCAAATAAATGTTTTACAAAATAAAATAAATAAATGATTGTTTATGGAAGGAGGCCCCAGGGCCCAGCAGACTACCCCAATCCCACATGGGAGTATCTTCCAGATACATATAGTTGTCTTCCCCAGAGGAAAATCTCACCATAGCCACAGGCCCGTGTTTTCCTTGCTTAAGAGGATTTTGACAGAGGTGGCTTCTGTATGTATGAGGTGGGTGAGGATCTAGTGTCAGATGGAAGGAACAGGATAAACAAAAGCAGGGTAGGGAGGATCAGCCCAGAGAAAGTGGATGGGGATGTGTCTGGAGTGAAGAGGCTGGACTGGAAAGGGGGCTGAGGTTTCCACTGGAGGTGGTGGATTGACAGTATGTGTTGACTCTGACTTTTGGAGCCTCCTGACACAGCAGTAAGTTTGCTTGCTCTAAGGCAGAAATTGGCAAGAATGGGGCAAGCAAGGGAAGAAGTAACTGCAACACGGTTGTTGAAGCTAAAATACTCAACAGGCCTGAGAAAACGAAATCTTGAAATGGTAGCCAGGAAGGAAAGCCAAGAACAAACTCTGGAGTCCCCCGAAGGTTCACCAATGGATGGCACTAGGCACCTCTGGATGCGGGTGTGAATGGAGGCTAAGATAATAGCTGGCATAAAGTCTGCTTAAGAAGCGCCCAGATCCTCTCACCAGATCTGTGCTGCCTTCCCCATCCTGATAAAAGACTGGACGTCTGTCATCTTAAAAAGGTAAAAGGACACATCTTGGGCTGAGAGATACCATTCACAATTAAGGGCAGAGGTGCCATAATAGGAACAGAGGGGTTAAATGAGCCTATAGGTGTTAGATACTGAGAACATGCCCCATCCCCTCTTCTGGGTTTTCAGAATGCCCGCAGCCAGGAGGCTGAAAGGGTCTTTCCTGGGGCATTAGACCAGGATGAGGGGAACACCTAAACTTTCTGACACCTGTGGTTGCCCAAGGGAGCAGCCAGACCACCCTAGAGGGAAGGGCGCAAGTAATGAGCCCCAACGTGTGCAGAGCTTCTAATCGGGGTTTCACAGGCAGCCGAAGCTGACCCAGCATCTCAGGAAAGCCTGTGTCATGAAACCTAAAGCCCCAATAGATTTTTTTAAAGCAACTTGGAGGAAACAGAGACTATGCAGAGAGAAGTACATGGCAACGTAGTCATCAATAATGTCATCAGAGAAAATATGGCAACCCACGAAACGAGGCCACATATAAAGAAACATTCGGAGAACAAACAAAAAGTGTTCTTGGAAATTTAAAGTAGCAGAAATGAAAAAAAAAAACCTCCAGAGAGGGATTGGAAGATAAAGTTGAGGAAATCTCTATGAAAGAAGAACAAAAGGAACCCCAAAAATGGGAAGTAGGAGAGAAAAAAATAAAGGGGGACCATCCAGAAAGTCCATCGATCAAATAATAGGAACCCCAAAAGAGTGATCAGAGAAACACAGGTGGCAGGGGGTGGAAGTGGGGGGAATCATCATTTAATTCATCCTTAAAAAAATCTCTAAAACTCAGGGGCATGCACTGAAAGGGCCCACAGGGAGCTCAACGGGAAAAAATAGTTCTACCCCAAGGCACATCACTGTTGAAGTTCAGAATAATGGGGACCAAAGTGTCCTGACATTAGAAGTAGGTCACATAGAGATGGTCAGGAGCCAGAAGGCGAGAGGCAAAGCCTTGAGAATCTAAAGGAGAATTATTCTCCAGTCTTTACCCAGTGAAAATATAAACCAAGTACTTTGAGATGAATGAGATCTCAAAAATTTTACCCATGGGTTCTTTCTCATGGTAGGATGCTACCAGAGATAATTCTTCACCAAAATAAAGAAGCCAACGGAGAAAGAGGGAGGCATGTGATCCAGGAAGGAGGCATTCAATGCAGAAGGGAGGGGAGGGGTGCAGAGGGCCACCAGGCCAGGCTGGAGCAGGTCAAATGCTCCATGGACACTTCTTCAGGAGGTGAAATAGACAGGATCCCTGTATCCATCAGGAGAAGCTGGGCCCAAAGTACAAACCACCTGCAAATCTCAAAGTTTTTTTTCTGGGCTTCCCTAGTGGCGCAGTGGTTGAGAACCCGCCTGCCGATGCAGGGGACACGGGTTTGTGCCCCGATCCGGGAAGATCCCACATGCTGTGGAGCGGCTGGGCCTGAGAGCCATGGCTGCTGAGCCTGCGTGTCCGGAGCCTGTGCCCTGCAACGGGAGAGGCCACAGCAGTGAGACGCCTGCGTACCGCAAAAAAAAAAGGTTTTTTCTGGCCGTGCTACACATCCATCGTGAGTTTCCTGGGGACGCCCAGGCTGATGGAGCAGCCTCTGTCTAGAACATGCTGGTCGCCATGGTAGAGGGACCCAGAGGTGTCCCTCATGCTTTCTTTCACACAAGATACGTTGTCCCTCTCCCCAGGTGGGAAAACTTTTAAATCCTGACCTAGGGGCCAGAGAGAGGGAAATCGGAGATGAGAAGGAAAACAGGGATTCGAGGCCAAGGGAGGTAGCATCCTGCTCGATCGAGGACCTCTGTAGGCGGCTCCACCCCACTCCCAGCTCCAATACACAATCTCGACATTCAGTGATGGAGAGGGACAGAATGACACAACAAACAGCCCAATTCAGAAAGGGGAGGAGGGGGAGATCCCAGCAGACAGTGTCCATTAGCAATACTGAGACCCTGCTGGGCAGATTTTGCCCCTCATCCTGGAGTGACTGGGTGAATAGTCCCAGTCTCGCTCCCTGGGAGTCCCAGCCACCCAATTGTTCTACGGGCCCTGCTCCACCTTGCGGGGTTCCTCCTCCACCATCATCCTCCTTGGCTGCATGTTGCGGGAGAGGGGCAACGGGAATATGCCCTCCTTGGAGGCTGAGCAGTTTCCCCAGCCCGCTTTCAGCCTGTAGAAGGTTAGAGATGAAGGGTCATCTTAAGTTCCAGCCACAAACTGTATTAGTGCT